CCCAGAATTCCCTAGCCAGCCTGCTTTAAGAGGGGTGGACTTCCATTCCCAGAATCCCCCAGCCACATGCTTTAAGATGGGTGGACTTCCACTCCCAGAATCCCCCAGCCAGCATAAATGACAATGAGTTGATTTAATTGTAATTCAAGGGCATTGCCAATCCCTTCCAATTAAACCTGTCAGGCCTTATAATGGCATCAATCATATTTCACTCTTTCGGTTTGAATTATTGTCTGCATATTTCTGTTTTTAATTACATTATAAGCAACACAGAGAATAATTCTTTGGCTGGCAAGATGGCGGCGGTGGGGGGGGGGCTATCCTTTAAATTAAATTAACAGTAAATTAAATTAACAGTTAGTTCTTAACCGGGCTCAGAAATGGCATGTTACTTTTCTCCTCTAGGTGGTCCTTGACTTAGAACCACAAAACTTCTGTTGCGATGTGAGACAGTGGCTAAGTGAATTTGGCCCCTTTTTACCGTTGTTAAGTGAATCACTGCAGTTACTGAGTGACATGGTTGTTAAGTGAATCAGGCTTCCCCCCCCCATTGACTTTGCTTGTCAAAAGGTCATAAAAGGGGATCGTGTGATCCCTCCGGGACACTGTGACCGTCATAAATGTGAGTCAGTTAGCAAGCCTCTGAATTTGGATCCACGTGACCCACGGGGGATGCTTCGACAGTCATAAGTGTGAGAACCAGTCGTAAGTCGCTTTTTCCAGCGCCGTCGTAACTTTGAAATGGCCACTAAATGAACTGTTGTAAATCCAGCACCTCCCCCCCCCACCCAAAGTGGGGTGATTCGCTGCCAGGACCCCAGAATGTGACACCTACCGTTTTGGCCCCATGGATGCAGCACCGAGCGCACAAAGTCTCAACTTTCACCCATACACACCCGCCCCGAGTTGGCAGTTGCGTACTGTGTGACTGTACTGTTCTTCTTGGGATGTTGAGAGAGTGCCTAAGCCAGCTAATCCAATCTTAGCCAACCTCTTGAATCAAATTAGGGCTGTTGACAATTTAAAAAGAAGGCTGGAGGCAGCAGAGCTGTTGCACGCACACAACACAACACACACACACACACACACACTCACACACACACAAACTCACAGACACACACACAGGGTGCTGTGCCCTGAATCCGTGTTGTCCTGGACATCTGCACCCAATTTTAATTTTCCCACAAAGGTCCCCCCAAAAGGGGGGGTGGGTTATTTTATTTTCTTTCCACCAATTGCGCGTTGATTGATTGTGTTATCCTGGAGCTGTTTCTACCACACAGGTTAGCCCCGTTTTTTGTGTTATTAAAATGGTAATCAGTCAATCAGAAAAGAGCTCAAGGGATCTTGAAAGTCTTCTAGTCCAGCCCCCTGCTCAGGCAGGAGAACTTATTTGTAAGGGTGTGTAGGTTATACATAGGTTGTGTATAGCGTGTTTAAATGTGTATTATTATGTATGTGTACACTTTGAGAGCAAGGGCTTAATTTCATTTGTAATGTGTGCCATTGTGCCCACAGTAAAAAATGACAATAAAGGTCTGTCTGTCTGTCTGTCTATCTATCCATCCATCCATCCTTCCATCCATCCATCCATCCATCCATCCATCCATCCATCCATCTATCATTTACCTATCTATATCTATCTATTTATCATCTATCTATGTATCTATCTATCTATTTCTATATCTATCTCTATCATTTACCTATCATCTATCTATATCATCTATTTATCATCCATCTATCTACCTACCTACCAGCTACCCACCTATCTACCATTTACCTACAATCTATCATCTATTTATCACCTATCTACCTACGTACGTACGTATCTATCTACCTATCTATCTATCTATCTATCATTTATGTATTATCTATCATCTATTTATCATCTATCTACCTACGTACCTATCTATCTATCTATCTCCCATCCATCCATCCACCCATTATCTATCTATCTATCTATCTATCTATCTATCTATCTATCTATCTATCTATCTCTATCATTTACCTATCATCTATCAATCTATCATTTACCTATCATCTATCTATATCATCTATTTATCATCCATCTACCTACCTACCAGCTCCCTACCTATCATTTACCTACAATCATCTATTTATCACCTATCTACCTACCTACCTATCTATCTCTCATCCATCCATCCATCCATCCATCCATCCATCCATCCACCCGTTATCTATCTATCTATCTCTATCATTTACTTATCATCTATCTATATCTATTTATCATCCATCTATTTACCTACCTACCTACCAGCTACCTACCTATCATTTACCTACAATCATCTATTTATCACCTACCTACCTACCTACCTACCTACCTACCTACCTACCTACCTACCTATCTATTTATCTCTATATCTCTATATCTATCATTTACCTATCATCTGTCTATATCATCTATTTATCATCCATCTATCTACCTACCTACCAGCTACCTACCTATCTATCATTTACCTACAATCTATCACCTACCTACCTACCTATCTATCAATCATCTATCTATCATTTACGTATTATCTATCATCTATTTATCATCTACCTACGTACCTATCTACTGTATCTATATCTATCTATCTATCTATCTATCTATCTATCTATCTATCTATCTATCTATCTCCCATCCATCCATCCATCCACCCATTATCTATCACCCATTCAGACAAATGGCTGTCCAGTCTCTTCTTAAAAACCTCCAGTGTTGGAGCACCCACAACTTCTGGTGGCAAGCTGTTCCACTGGTTAATTGTCCTACCTGTTAGGAAGTTTCTCCTTAATTCCAGGTTGCTTCTGTCCTTGGTTAGTTTCCATTTGTTGCCAATGTGGGTCCTCCTGTCAATAAGGTGGTGGTTCAGCATTGAACAGCCCCCTTCCCCCATCCAGTTAGGGTCTGTGGGAATTACAGAATTATAGGCCATTCTATAACTTAGGTTTTCCCAGTTGCAATGTATGGCTGTGAAAGTTGGACCATAAAAAAGGCTGAGCGCAAAAGAATGGAGGCCTTTGAACTCTGGTGCTGGAGAAGACTCCTGCGAGTCCCCTGGACTGCAAGGCGATCCAACCGGTCAGTCCTAGAAGAGATCAACCCCGACTGCTCTTTAGAAGGCCAGATCCTGAAGTTGAAACTCAAGTCCTTTGGCCACCTAAGGAGAAGGAAGGACTCCCTGGAGAAGAGCCTGATGCTGGGAAAGATGGAGGGCAAGAGAAGAAGGGGACGACAGAGAATGAGGGGGCTGGATGGAGTCCCTGAAGCAGGAGGTGTGAGCTTAAAGAGACTCCAGAAGATGGTAGAGGACAGGAAGGCCTGGAGGAACGTTGTCCATGGGGTCGCGATGAGTCGGACACGACTTCGCAACTAACAACAACAAAATAACTTAGGTCCACAATTAAGTTGCCCATAGTCATTAGAACAGGAGATGACCGGCAAAGAGGTTTTCTAAATCAATAAAAGAAACTGGAGCCCCAAATTTTCCATTGCAAAGTGAGACAGTTTTTCAGTCAGTTGTGCCCCACTTTATGACATTTCTTGCTATTGTTGTTAAGTGAATCCCTGCATTTGTCAAGTTAGCAACACGGTTTTTAAGTGAATCCGGCTTCCCCCCATTGTCTTTGCTTGTCAGAAGGTCGCAAAAGGGGGATCACGTGACCCGCCGGGACACTGCGACCGTCGTAACTGTGAGTCAATCACCAGGCGTCTGAATTTTGATCACGCGACTCCGGAGACACTGCGCCGGTTGTTAAAAATGTGAAAAAATGGCAACTTTTTCCACTGTTGTTGTAACTTCCGAACGGTCACTAAATGAATGCTTGTAAAATCGAGGATTTACCAGTACAGAATAACAGTTGGAAGGGACCTTGGAGGTCATCTAGTCCAACCTCTGCTCATGTGGGAAGACCAGGGAAAACCCCCTGTCAATTCCATGTGACTTGCTTGAATAATTTCAAGGGATTTTTTTAAAAAAAAAAAAAAACGTATGTTGTGAATCATTGCTTTCCCGTTTTTTTTTTTTTTAAACTCCCTTTATTTCCAAAATTGCTTATCAGGAACTCTCTTTTTCCCGCTTATCAGAAAATCCTTATTTAAGGATTGGGTAATGGCACTGTGTGTCATGAACAAAAGGAAAACCACTTTTACTCAATTTTGGGCTTATTCATCCAGGTTTGGGAAGCCCTGTGGTCAGATCCGAGGGAGTCCTTGACTTCTGACCATAATGGATCACAGAATGTCCGTCGTAAGTCGTGACGGTGATCAGTCACCATAACCATGTGACTGAACATGATTTTATTACCTTTTTTTGCATTGGTTGTTAAGTGAACACCATAGTCCAACAATGGTGAACCTTTTAGAGACCGAGTGCCCAAACTGCAACCCAAAACCCACTTATGCATCGTCGGGGGCCGGGTGGGTGTGGCCCATTGGGTGGGTGTGGCCCATTGGGCTATGGTAGTAATGGCAGACTGGGTGGGACTAAAAAGTTCAATCCATCAATTCCAACTTTGCAAGATCTTTTTTTTCCCCCGCAAGAAGTTAAAATTGACTGATCGATTGAACCTTTTTTTTTTTTTTTTTGCACACAACGGCGGAGGCCTAAAGCGAAAAGGTTTTATAAAACCCAGCTGAAGGCCTAGGACTGGGGCGACGGCGCGTGTGCCCACAAAGAGGGCTCTAAGTGCCGCCTCTGGCACGCGTGCCATAGGTTCGCCACCATGGCCATAGTCGTTAAACGAATCCATGTATTCCTAGCGGTCCTTGGTGTTCTCCGAACCTGGTTTCCTTGCAGATGTTTCATGACCCAGCTAGGTTACATCATCAGTGTGAGAAGAGAGTGAGGTGTCGGGGTGGAGGAGGAGGGGGAGGGGGAGGAGAAGAACCGTGGGGTCCTTGGTGCTCTCCGAACCTGGTTTCCTTGCAGACGTTTCATGACCCAACTAGGTTACATCATCCATGCATCATTCTTCTCCTCTCGTTGCGTTTGCAGAATATCGACATCACCAACTTCAGCAGCAGCTGGAGTGACGGCCTGGCCTTCTGCGCCCTCCTACACACCTACCTGCCTGCTCACATCCCTTATCAAGAGCTCAACAGCCAAGACAAGGTGAGTAGGTTCCCGCCTGCTCCACCAGGGGCAGCAGAGAGCTTCCCGAGAATGCCCCTAGTGGAGGGCAAAGGGACTGCAATTATACAGAAGAACAGGAGATAAATACCGTACTTACCACCCTTCATTTTAGTGACCATTCCAAGTTACAGTGACAAAGGGGACTGAAGACCAGTCCTCACATTTATGACCGTCATAGCAGTCCCAGGATCATGAGATCAACATTGCAAAATACCACCAGCATGTGTATTTATGACAGTCGCAGCATCGCGGGGGAGGGGGGGTGTCCCGTGATCGCCGTTCGCAACCTTCCCAGCAGGCTTCTGACAAGCAAAGTCAACGAGGGGAGCTGGATTCGCTTAACGACCGTGTGACTTGCTTAACGACTGCAGTGATTTGCTTAACGGCCACTGCAAAAATGATTGTAAAATTGGGTAGGTCCACTTGAAACTACCCGTTTTAGGACCATCGTGACTTGGCCAGGCTCCCTTGACGTCGTAAGTTGAGGACTGTCTGTATTTCAAATCAAACTTCTTAAAATAATAGACAAAGAGGTAAATCCCTTCCCCAGTTAAATTTGGTATTCCAGTGGCAATACTCTCAGCTCCGCAGCTAATCTGGAGAGATTTAATAGTAATAATAATAGTAGTAGTAGTGATAGTAATAATAGTAATAACAATAGTAAAATAATAATAATAATAATTATTATTATTATTATTATTGTGGGCGCTCCATCACTGGAAGTTTTTAAAAAGAGACTGGACAATCACCTGTCTGAAATGGTATAGGTCCTCCTGCAAAGTTGGAAGGGACCTTGGAGGTCATCTAGTCCAACCCCCTGCTCAGGCAGGAAACCCTACACACCATTTCAGACAATTGGATTGTTATTACAGGAAGTCCTCGTCTTACAACAGTTCACTTAGCGACCGTTCAAAGTCACAAGGGCGCTGAAAAAAGTGACGTGACCGTTTTTCACACTGGCGACCGTGACTGTTGCAGCATGCCCGTGGTTTCATGTGATCCAAAATTCAGACGCTTTTGGCAACTGACTCGTATTGATGATGGTTGCGGTGTCCTGGGGTCACGCGATGGCCTTTTGCGGCCTTCCGCCAAGCTAAGTCAAGTGGGAAGCCGGATTCACTTAACGACTGGTTTGCTAACTTAATTCGCTTAACGACAGTGGCAAGACAGATAGTAAAAGGAGGGCAAAGCCCGCTGAACAAATGTCTTGGGACACACCAGACAACACATACACAACACAAAAACATTGTCTGACACCCTTCCCACCATTCATTACAAGTGATTCATTAATGTATGTGTCATCAAGTTGCCTTTTTGGCTCCTACCAAGCACGGAGATAGATTTAAGGAGACTATTATTATTTATTTAAAAGATTTATAGTGTTGGCCATCTGGCGTAGCCGTAAATCCTGGCTGGTTTGGTTTACGAACAAACGATCAAAGCAGCCAAAAGCAATCAGAAGCCAACTCACAAGCATGACAGTCAATCAATACGCTGATAAACAAACGAGTCTCTCCTGTAGGAAAAGAGAGATTGCAGGCAATCCTCCATTTAACGACCAAAATTGATCCCCCCCCCATTTTTGTTGCTAAGTGAAACATTCGTGAAGTGAACTTTGCCTCGTTTTGATCTCCCCAAAGGTTTTAAGTCTGAGGACGGGTTACGTGTCCCTTTTTTCCAGCAACGTCGTAATTTTGAACCGTCGCTAAACGGATGGCCGTAAGTCGAGGACTCCCTGTAATTCAGTCTAAGGAGAAACAAGACGAGGGAAGCCTTTGTTTTCTAGCCTCTGTTATTATGGGGTGTCCTCGAATTATGACCAGAATGGAGCCCCCAAATTTACGTTGTTAAGCAAGTCAGCTTTTTAAGTGAATTTTGACCCATTTTATGACCTTCCTCGCTCCGGTTTTTAAGCGAATCACTGCCATTGTTAAGTTAGACACACGGTTGTTAAGTGAATCCAGCTTCCCCCCCCATTGATTTAGTTTGTCAGAAGGTCTGAAAAGGGGATCACGTGACCCCCCCAGGACACACTGCGACCGTCGTAAATACAAATCAGTTGCCAAGCAACTGAATTTTTGATCACATTGACCATTGAGGATCCTGCAACGGTCGTACGTGTGAAAAACAGCCCTCAGTCCCTTTTTTCCAGTGTCGTCGTAACTTCGAATAGTCATAAATGGATGGTTGTAAGTCAAGGACTATCTGTGGTTTGGAAGTCCCCAGGGTGACCTCAGGACACTGTGACCATCATTAGTAAGAGTCCATTGCCAAGTGCCTGAATTTTGATCATGTGACCCTGGGGACGCTACAACGGTCGTAAGTGCGAGGACCGATCAGCCGTGCCATAGTAACGAACGGTCATTAAATGAACGGTTGTATGTAGAGGACAAGCAGGAGCAGCCCACATCTCTGGGTGATCAACAATTGAAGTGGAAATGTATATATTTAAAGTTTGTATGTATTAATAGCATAAGAATTGTACTGGTTTAGTGTCCGAGAAATGAAAAAACATTGCCTGGAAAAAAAAGAAAGAAATGTGTAGAAATGGACAGAGCGATACGGAAGGAAAAAAAGAAAAAGAAGAGACAGAATAAGTTCAAAGACGGGGTATCGTTTATTACTGGCTGGAAAAATGAGATAGAGATTAGGAATTGAATGTGTATTTTTAAGTAAAAAATGGACCCAGACAACAGGTTAATAGTAATAATGATGATGATGATGATGATAATGATGATGATAAGAATAACCCCCTGCTCAGGCAGGAAATCCTGTGTCATTTTGGACAAATGGCTGTCCAGTCTCTTCTTAAAAGCTTCCAGTGTTGGAGCATTCACCGCTTCTGGAGGCAAGGAGTTCCACGGGTTAACTGTTCTAACTGTCAGGAAGTTTCTCCTTAGTTCTAGGTTGCTTCTCTCCTTGATTAGTTTCCACCCGTTGCTTCTTGTCCTGCCTTCAGGCGCCTTGGAGAATAGCTTGACTCCCTCTTCTTTGGGGCAGCCCCTGAGATACTGGAAGGCTGCTATCCTGTCCCCCCTCGTCCTTCTCTTTGTTAAACTAGACATTCCCAATTCCAGCAACCGTTCCTTATATGTTTTAGCCTCCAGTCCCCTAAAATCATCTTTGTTGCTCTTCTCTGCACTCTTTCTAGAGTCTCAGCATCTTTTTTACATCGTGGTGACCAAAACTGGATGCCGTATTCCAGGTGTGGCCTTACCAAGGCATTGAAGAGTGGTATTAATACTTCACGTGATCTTGATTCTATCCCTCTGTTAATCCTCCAGTCATAACGCAGCCAAAATTTCTGGAGGCAGGTTGTTCCACTGGTTAATTGTTCTGACTGTCAGGAAATTTCTCCTTAGTTCTAGGTTGCTTCTCTCCTTGATGAGTTTCCATCCGTTGCTTCTCGTCCTGCCTTCAGGCCCTTTGGAGAATAGCTTGACTCCCTCTTCTTTGGGGCAGCCCCTGAGATACTGGAAGACTGCTATCATGTCCCCCCTCGTCCTTCTCTTCGTTAAACTAGACAGACCCAATTCTAGCAACCGTTCCTTATATGTTTTAGCCTCCAGTCCCCTAATCATCTTTGTTGTTCTTCTCTGTACTCTTTCTAGAGTCCCATCATCTTTTTTACATCGTTGTTTACTAAGCACTTACAATTTGCAAAAATAAAAAATTAATGAAATATTTTAAGAAACAACAATTAAAGTGGACGTAAGAAGAATTACATCAGGAGACAAAACATCTGCAAATAGGTGCCCATTGGCCCTTTCTCTGCACTTTTGATTTATGATCCCCAGTTAAAAATAAGATTATCCTTTTTGCCTTCGTCACTGTCTTTATCAGCTGTGAAGGGCTAATTTAACGGGCTAATTTATGGCTGTGCCTTTCTTGCCAGCCTCTCCAAATCTCCAGAGGGCAGAGCAAGATAAGAAGGGTATAAATAAATTTCCCCCCACCACCACCACCACACCCATTATAAAACTTGAGTGATAATAGAGGCATGCAAGTTTTTTTTAATATATATATATATATATACATATATATACATAGCAAAAAGCTGCCTTTGGGGCTGCAGGAAAACCAAACCGTGATTTTTTTTTTTTTTTAAAAAATGAGAATATTGTTACTGCCCAAGGCAAGGAGCCCGTTGGGTTGATGGATAACTATTCCTCTGGGAAATTCAAAAGGCTTCCGATGTTTTTGCTCTGAATATTTTCTCCTGAAGGAACAATTATCTAATCTGCTGGACTTTCTTTAAAAAAGGAGAAATTGGACGCAATTCTCCCGGGACCTCAAAAGGACATGCGATACGTGCCAAAGTCCCATTTTATTTTATTTTTTTACACTTCACTTCCTCCCCCCCCTCCGAGATCTCCTGGAAAGTCCTTCACTTATGACGACAATTGGGATCAGAACTTCTGTCCTTAAACGATGTGGTTCTTAAGGCAGTCATGCCCCCATTTTATGACCCTTTTTGATGCCCGGCTTCCCTCACTGGCTTTCATATCTAAGGTGGGACTAGAACTCACCGTCTCCTGGTGATTGGCCCAACGTCACCCAGCTGGCTTTCGTGCCTAAGGCGGGACTAGAACTCACCGTCTCCTGGTGATTGGCCCAAAGTTACCCAGCCGGCTTTCCTGCTTAAGGCGGGACTAGAACTCACCGTCTCCCGGTGATTGGCCCAAAGTCACCCAGCTGGCTTTCATGGCTAAGGTGGGACTAGAACTCACCGTCTCCTGATGATTGGCCCAACGTCACCCAGCTGGCTTTCATGCCTAAGGCGGGACTAGAACTCACCGTCACCTAGTGATTGGCCCAAAGTCACCTAGTTGGCTTTTGTGCCAGAGGTGGGACTAGAACTCACCGTCTCCTGGTGATTGGCCCAGCGTTCCTGCAGGGAAGGTTATAAATGGCAAAGATGATGCTACGGCCGTCGTAAATACATGCCGGTTGCCGACTGCCCGGAGTTTGATCTCGGCAAAGGTTTTAAGTCTGAGGACTGATTGCGAGTCCCTTTTTTCCAGCAACATCGTAACTTTGAACCGTCGCTAAACAAATGGTCGTAAGTCGAGGACCCCCTGTAATTCAGTCTAAGATGGCTGCTTTTGTAAGGAAGCGTGAAAAACAATTTAAAAAAATGACGGACGCAAAGACAAGTTGGATCCATTCATCGTTCTTATTGTTATTCCTGGACCGCTTTCAAAATAGTGTGATTAAACAATAGACCTATTTCTAGAATAGAATAGAATAGAATAGAATAGAATAGAATAGAATAGAATAGAATAGAAAATATGGAATGGAGTGGAATGGATTGGAATGGAATGGAATATAGAATGCAATGGAATATAGAAGAGAAGAGAAGAAAAGAAAAGAGAAGAGAAAATATGGAATGGAATAGAATAGAATGGAATGGAATATGGAATGGAATGGAATATAGAAGGGAATGGAATAGAATATAGAATGGAATGGAATATAGAAGAGGAAGAGAAGAGAAGAGAAGAGAAAATATGGAATGGAATAGAATAGAATGGAATGGAATATAGAAGAGGAAGAGAAGAGAAGAGAAAATATGGAATGGAATGGAATAGAATAGAATGGAATGGAATGGAATATAGAATGGAATGGGATATAGAATAGAGTAGAGAAGAATAGAATAGAATAGAATAGAAGTTGGAGGGGACCTTGGAGGTCTTCTAGTCCAACCCCCTGCTCAGACAGGAAACCCTATACCATTTCAGACCAATGGTTGTCTTCTTAAAAAAAAAAAAAAAACACTGAGAAAGCTGGTCTAGAATGACACAGCTGTCCTCTTAATATATCTCTTTTTGTTTATTTTTTCTTCCCTTTTAAACCAAAGAAGGTTGCCAGAGGTTAAACTGGAGTGACATTTTGATATCTCTTGGGAGTTTCCAGGCTGGCTGTTTAGATTATAAATCCCGTGAATGGAAAGGAGACAAACTGCAGCTAATCCAGTTTCATTTTTCCCTCCTCCTTCCTCTTGCTAACCCCTCTATCGAGAAAATAGGAAATAAAATACAAATACAGGTGTTGTTTTTGTTTTTTTTGTTTTAAATCTATTCTCCCCATCTCTCCCCTCTTTCTTCCCTCACCTGATGTTATTTTTAATTTTAATTTTTCAATATTCAATTTAAAAGCCAATGGGGCATTTCATGTTATTGTCTATTTGGGACCTCCAGTTTTGGAAGATTTGCTATAGTAAGGACTGTTTTGTTCCCCTGTTTATTTAAATGTTTAAACCAGAGGTCTTCAAACATGGCCCTTTGTGACTTGTGGACTTCAACTCCCAGAATTCCTCAGCCAGATTGCTTTAAGACAAGGGTCTTCCAACTTGGCCCTTTGATAACTTGGGGACTTCAACTCCCAGAATTCTCAGCCAGGATGATTTAAGACAGGGGCCTTCCAACTTGGCCCTTTGATGACTTGTGGACTTCAACTCCCAGAATTCCTCAGTCAGGATGCTTTAAGACAGGGGTCTTCAAACCTGGCCCTTTTATGACTTGTGGACGTCAACTCCCAGAATTCCTCAGCCAGGCACGCTGGCTGAGGAATTCTGGGAGTTGAAGTCCACAAATCATAAAAGGGCCAAGTTGTAAGACCCCTGGTTTAAAACCTCCATTTGTACATAGGTACAAGGAAGTCAGCCTGTTCTGCAGCAAACATAAATAATGTTTTACAGGTTGTCCTTGACTTACAACTGTTCATTTAGTGACCGTTTAAAGTTACAACAGCACTAGAAAAAATGACTTTGTCCCACTTATTTATCGCAAAGTGCCAACACGGCAATTTAACCTGAATACTGAGGTTTTAGTTTAGAAAAAAACAACTCATACCTTAACATCTTTTGTCTTAAAAGAAAAACAACAATAACAGAGCTTTCAATGATACAAGCAATTTTTTATTGAAAGCTAAACGTTTGCATTTGGCCTGCTTTTGAACAATTCATGTGATTTTCGCTGTTGCATGCATGCTGATAATTTGTCTAGCCTTGGCTCATACTTGGCAAGTTTGAGAGCAACACACACAGCACTCGGGTCATCCGTTAGTCTGCTTCTGGTGTCAGGTTTGATATAATTCAAAGCTCAAAACAGCTGCTCACAAGCATAAAGTGATCCATACAAAGTAAGGAAAGCAATGCCAAGTGCTTTCATTGACTTAAAATTATTTGGCAGAGAATTCCACACTTTAAGGATTTCATTTTCAGAGCTAACTGTGCTGTCCTTTGCCATCCTTTTTTTTCGCAGGATTGCTCTCAATAAGAGCAAAGCACGCTTTGGTTCCATTTTTGCCAGGAAGCGCCTTGGCAAATGGCTTTTTCCTGTGAAAACTTAGCCAAAGAGCGTGGCGCGCGTGCCCACAGAGAGGGCTCTGAGTGCCCCCTCCGGCACGCGTGCCATAGGTTTGCCGCCACTGACCTATACTATTTCAGACAAGTGACTGTCTAGTCCAGTGAGGGTGAACCTTTCAGAGACCGAGTGCCCAAACTGCAACCCAAAACCCACTTATGCATCGTCGGGTGCTGGGTGGGTGTGGCCCATTGGGTGGGCGTGGCCCATTGGGTGGGTGTGGCCCATTGGGTGAGCGTGGCCCATTGGGTGGGCGTGGCTGTGGTGGTAACAGCAGACTGGGTGGGACTAAAAAGTTCAATCAATCAATTCCAACTTTGCAAGATCTTTTTCCCCCCCCCCCAGGTTGAAATTGACTGATTGATTGAACCTTTTTTTTTTTTTTTTGCACACAGTGGCAGAGGCCTAAAGCAAAAAAGTTTTATAAAACCCAGCTGAAGGCCTAGGACTGGGGTGATGGCACACCCGTGCCATAGGTTTGCTACCACTGGTCTAGTCTCTTCTTATTTTTTTTTGTTTGTGTATTTTAAAAGACTTTAAAATTAGTTCTTTTATGTTTCTCCTTCTATTCATTTTTTTCCCCTTCTTCCTCAGAAAAGAAATCTCCTGCTTGCATTCCAAGCGGCGGAAAGTGTTGGAATCAAGCCCAGTTTGGTAAGTGTGTGTATGTGTTTGTGTGTGTGTGTGTGTGTGTGGTTTAATTTTCCCGGGGAGGAGAATAGTAAGGGATGAAGTTAAGAGACGGGGAGAGACGGATAGGCGGGGGGGGGGGTCAAAGCAGGGGTGATTCTCTTGGGCCCCAAATCACTCAGGTATTTTTCCCTAACTGGTTGAGGGTGGAGTTCCCATCATCCCCTGCCAAGCCAACATGACCCATGTTAGCTGAGCAAGATGGGAGCCGTGTTCTAGCATATGAGAGTCTGTTTGGTCAAATGGTTAAGGTGCCATGCTAGAAACAGGGAAACAGTAAGTTCTAGCCCGACCTTAGGCATGAAAGCTGGCTGGGTGACTTTGGGCCAATCACCAGGAGACGGTGAGTTCTAGTCCCGCCTTAGGCATGAAAGCCGACTGGGTGACTTTGGGCCAATCACCAGGAGACGGTGAGTTCTAGTCCCGCCTTAGGCGTGAAAGCTGGCTGAGTGACTTTGAGCCAATCATCAGGAGACGGTGAGTTCTAGTCCTGCCTTAGGCATGAAAGCCGGCTGGGTGACTTTGGGCCAATCACCAGGAGGCGGTGAGTTCTAGTCCCGCCTTAGCCATGAAAGCCGGCTGGGTGACTTTGGGCCAATCACCAGGAGGTAGTGAGTTCTAGTCCCGCCTTAGCCATGAAAGCCGGCTGGGTGACTTTGGGCCAATCACCAGGAAGTGGTGAGTTCTAGTCCCGCCATAGGCATGAAAGCCAACTGGGTGACTTTGGGCCAGTCGCTCTCTCTCTCTCTCTCTCATCCCAACCCACCTCATAGGGTTGTCGTTTTGGGGGAAAACAGAAGAAGGAAGCTGTGCCACTAACTTAACAGCTGCAGCGATTCACTTAACAACTGTGGCAAGAAAGGTCGTAAAATGGGACCAAACTCACCCAGCTGCTGTCTTGCTTAGCAACAGAAATTTTGGGCTCGGTCATCGTCGTAGGTCGAGGACTAACTGTGCACACAAGCCCGTTTATATACAGCTACCTCGAATTATGCAATTGTCAACATTGTTTTCCTGGCCTCCATTTTGAAAAAATTATTCTTCTTCCACTCTGGCTTCTTCAGAGCTCCGGACTGGTGTTGGCCAGGCTGCCTTTTGCTCAGCAAAAGCCTTGCCAGGAGGATGAAATGGGTGCAGTTCTTACTTCCTGCTTTTGGGCACATGGGGGGGTGGAAGAGGGGGGTCAGCTGGCATGCTTGGCAGAGCTGAGGAATATCTAGCCTGGCCTTCTGCCACAGCCTGAGATCGGAGCAGTTCTCGTCCTTCCTAAGGGTTTTGCCAACGCGGCAGGAAGGAAGCACCTCCAGGAGGGTTGGCAATCTGGGTTGGCAAATCCTTGGTCCTTGCCAGGCCTTTTGCAGAGGCTCAATTCAGCCCACTGGGGGTCCTCTTCCGGCTTTTTTCCCAATTCAGCAGTGATTTGCTGAATGTCCCCCAGCCAGCCTGCTTTAAGAGGGGTGGTCTTCCACTCCCAGAATTCCCCAGCCAGCCATGCTTTAAGAGGGGTGGACTTCTGCTCCCAGAATCCCCCAGCCAGCCTGCTTTAAGAGGGGGGACTTCAACTCCCAGAATTCCCAGCTAGCCCTGCTTTAAGAGGCGTGGGCTTCCACTCCCAGAATCCCCCAGCCAGCATGCTTGAAGAGGGGTGGACTTCCACTCCCAGAATTCCCAGCTAGCCCTGCTTTAAGAGGGGTGGGCTTCCACTCCCAGAATCCCCCAGCCAGCATGCTTTAAGAGGGGTGGACTTCCACTCCCAGAATTCCCCAGCCAGCCTGCTTTAAGAGGGGGGACTTCAACTCCCAGAATTCCCAGCTAGCCCTGCTTTAAGAGGCGTGGGCTTCCACTCCCAGAATCCCCCAGCCAGCATGCTTGAAGAGGGGTGAGCTGCCACTCCCAGAATTCCCCAGCCAGCATGCTTTAAGAGGGGAGGGCTTCCGCTCCCAGAATCCCCCAGCCAGCCTGCTTTAAGAGGGGTGGGCTTCCGCTCCCAGAATCCCCCAGCCAGCCTCCTTTAAGAGGGGAGGGCTTCCGCTCCAGAATCCCCCAGCCAGCCTCCTTTAAGAGGGGAGGGCTTCCGCTCCCAGAATTCCCCAGCCAGCCTGCTTTAAGAGGGGGGGACTTCCGCTCCCAGAATCCCCCAGCCAGACTCCTTTAATAGGGGAGGGCTTCCGCTCCCAGAATCCCCCAGCCAGCCTTCTTTAAGAGGGGAGGGCTTCCACTCCCAGAATCCCCCAGCCAACCTACTTTGGGAGGGCTTCCACTCCCAGAATCCCCCAGCCAACCTACTTTAAGAGGGGAGGGCTTCCACTCCCAGAATCCCCCAGCCAGCCTGCTTTAAGATAGTTGGATTTCAACTCTCATGGTTGGCTGGGGAATCCTGGGAGTTAACTCCACCCATCTTCAAGCCGCCACGCTTGAGAAACCTTTATCTCCCCTCAATCAATCATCTGAGTAGCCCTCCGTCCTTCAATTCAATTCTGCCTTACCAAAGCGTTGACTTCAGCTCCCAGAATTCCCCACAGCGCTGTCCTCGCTGGGAATTCTGGGAGTCCGCTCATCCAGAAGGGGACCCCGAGAGGGAAAAATGGGCTTGTTGGACTCAATGACCGTCTGTAGGAGAAGACTTGGGTGACTTCCCTTCCGCTGATCCCTTTTTCTTGCCCTCCCGCAGGAACTGAGCGAGATTATGTACACGGATCGTCCGGACTGGCAAAGTGTGATGCAATATGTGGCCCAGATCTACAAATATTTTGAAACTTGAAGAAGAGGAGGAGGAGGAAGGAAGGAGGAGGGAGGAAGGAGAAGAAGAGGAAGAGAAGTACGAGCCACTGAAAAAAACACCGCCGAAGTAGCACACAATCACTTTAAACGATCCCCTTTTTCGGTTGATTCCCGCTCGGCAAACGACGGCTCCTGCCAGATGCCACGGCGTGTGAGGTGGTAGAGTGGGTCCCTTCTTGGCTGGAAACTTCTTGGGCCACGTGCCCAACCGTGCCAAAAAAAGATACTCAAAGCCAAGAGCCCAACTATGACTCACAAGGACTGGGCACCTCACCCGGTGTAAAAATAATTCTAGCTCGCTTTTTTCCCTCCACTAAACCAAGGTGCCCCGGTGGGTCTCTCCCAGCTGGGCCCCGTTCCCATTTTTTTAAAAAAGAAAATGAACAGCCCCAGAAGCTGGGAACTCTGCAGAAGCACAGGAACACCCTTGCCAGCCACACTAAAAGCATCTGCCTGAAAGTCTCAAAGGCCACCAGCCACATCTGGATTGGAACCGGATCTCGTGAACTGTTCGGAGGAGGGTCTGTTTTCAGAGGATTGCCCCAATCTGGATTAACCTCTGTGCAGTTGCATCTTTCCTGGGGGGGGGGGCTGTGAAAGTGGCAGGAGGGAGTGTCCAACCTAGGGAACAAGGGATCACGTGGCGTGGTCTGGTGTCCCTTCCCAACTGCGACACGAACGAGCAGCCATTCTCAAATTCTCCTTTTCGTGCAATTGTTGAGTGGACGGAGGGCCCCCCCCCCCCGAAAACAGGGTTTGTAGACCCCTTCAAGAAACAGGAAGAACATGGGAGAAGAGGGGCCAGGCTCACAAGCCCTAGAGTTGCCATGTTTTTTCACCAGCGTTCGTCGCTGCGGTTCTGCCAGGCCGAAATTCATTCAGCAGAGTTTGTCTTGTGCAGGCCGCTGATGAAGAGACAGGCAAACGCTTTGCACACTCAACACCTCCCCAGCGTGCAATTGGTAAAAAAAGCACAGGAGCAAATTGAAAAAAAACGTCGGCGACTCCTCAATTTGGGATCTCTGCAAATTAGGAACGCGATGCCTTCTTTCTGCGCTGTCCTCCACGAGTCTTCAGCAGGATTAACAAGAGTCTGGTTGATTTACGACAGCGTTGCTGCCGCTGTCTGGAGTGATTGAGAACATCAGAGTCAGTCAAGGGACCCTCTGCCACGATTTAAGGACGGTTTTGCAACGTCGGGACAGGAGGGTAGATTCAAGCCCAGGCAGACGGCACCCGTGGTGACCACCACCAGCGTCTCCGAACGGGTGGAACACAGAGCTTGTCAAATGTTGTCAAAAGTAGTACGTGGGTTGCGTGATGTTGCCCGAACGCAAACACGTAGCGTGTCTTTGGGTTTCGGGATCCCCGTTGTAAAAAAGATGGCGGGAGCTTGAGATGTAGACATGCGGAACGCTCTGGGAATTCCTGGTACCCACTGGGGATGAGGTTGTCGTGATGTGAGCAAACACTGATGCAGGTTCCTTCCTGTCGTGCTACTGGGATCATTTGCAGACGGGCACGGGGGATGCAAGCGAGGGAACTTAGCAAGCCAGCAAGGGGGTCTCAGTGAGGTCTTGTGGTCTCTCTCTCACACACAGACACACTGTTGTTAAAGGGGAAACCATTGTTTGGAAGATCTGCTCTGCCCACTCATTGGTGTCCCATTGTCTACATGAGCTCAGTACTGTCCCGGATGTTGACGAGGTGGAAAGAATCGGAGGACCGGCATGGCTGAGGTCCTCCGGGATACACTTGGGGAAAATTGGTTGTGTGAAACCAGAGGGCGCGACTCCCATGGGGGTCTCTGGATCACCACCATCTTCCCGGGAACAAACGGCGGGCATTGGAAATCAGCACGCGCCGCAGATTCCCACGGTCGAGAAGGTTAGCTCTGCGCGGGGAAGTGCTCCAGGACATTGGGTGACGCAGGGGTGGGGTGGACGCAGGGGTCAGTGCCAGGAGGAGTGTGACCCCTTTCCCAACCTTGAAGGGGGAGGGGTCTTGTGCAGGGGTGTGACCTCCCCTCCCAACCTCAAAGGGGGAGGGGTCTTGTGCAGGGGGAGGAGTTCCAGGCACGAGCGGTGGAAGATGGCAAGAGAGAAAGTGGTTAAAGTCGAGAAGGTTTGAGTTGAGCGTGGTTGCAAAGGGCAAGATGGCGTCTCTGGGAAAGGTCAGAGGTTGGGGGGAGAAGGGTGGGCAGAGTAGCCAATCCAGAGAGAAGCAAAGGCACCGCTTACGGGAATTTGCACGTGCCTTAAGGAAAGTGGAGCGTGGCCGTGCCGGAACGGCTATCCGGTTGGGGAAAAGTAGAGCCAGAGGGTACATGCACCGCAACATTGCTCCCCGCTCGTTTTTTTTCCCGGTTTGAGTTTCCCTCTCTTCTCCAAAGGAACCTTAGAACTGCAAGGGTCCTCCAAAGTAATCTAGTCCACCCCTCACGCCCAAATCATCCGGCCTCAGTTTGAAGATCTCCAAGGAAGGGTCTTCGCTGGCCACCTCAGGAAGGGCTATTTTTTCTTCCGCGTGGACGTCTTCACGATCGAGGCCGGGCTCTCCCTGCTCCCACCTCTTGAGGACTAGAAAGTTAAGAGAATGTTTTAAGAAAAGTACAGGCTAAGCTGCCTCTCTGGGACACATCTGCCCTCCAGATGGATGGAGGGGGTCACCATCCTGCAGAAGGGCTCCTCTCTTTTTGAACATGCCAGAAAATTGGAAAAAGGTTGGTTCTTCCAAGCAGACGGCAAGAAGCCATGATTAGTTTCCAGATTTGTAAACCGGTTAAAGAAGCTGTTTAGTCCTAGGAGAGCTGCCCCCTCTTTCTCCTGGGTCGCTAAATTTATTTCTTATTTCGTTTATTCGAATTTGATGGCTACCCCTCAGAACGTCTCCGGGCGGCTGTAAGAATAAATAGTTAATTTTGTCTATTCACAACTACCTCCTTCCCAATCCAGGCTTAGGGGTACTCTGTGTATCTCTGCAAAACCTGCTTCAGGGATTGCGTGTCGGTGTTGTGCACACCCGGATCCGGAAGTGCATCGTGTTAGGGTAAAATTAGGAGATGCTCACTGCTCACAATGCACTGGGGCATCCACAGAGACCCCTCCCCAAAAAAAGACAAGATGGCAGCCAGCACTTGCAATCCCAGCCCTGCGGTGCAGTACGAAAAGGGGCGGGGCTCCAACTGCAGGATTGTGGCAGCCATTTTGACTCTTTTGACCCAAATGGCAGACGTCCCTGAATTCAACAACGGGCCTCTCCGTCCTCCGATGGTTCACCAGCTCTATCCCTTGTCTGTACGGTTCTCATCAGGAGCTGGCAGGGTGTGATCAAAATGTCAAGATGGCGGCTGCCACGGCAGGATCAAACCACTGCCCGTTTTTTTATCACTAGTGATCAACCGTTGTGGCCCTCACCATCATCATTTTGATTCTACCCTGCAGAATTCCACTGCTTCCTGCAGATTTCCCCAATAAAATGCGTTCAGCAGCACGCTAGTCCTCCGCAAGGCACTCCCAAACTGCTCCTGAAGCCTGAAATGTTGGTATCCCAGGCACAAATACAATATTTTTCAACCTTGGTGACTTTCAGATGGGTGGACTTCAACTCCCAGAATTCCCAGTCAGCATGGCTGGCTGGGGAATTCTGGGAGCTGAAGTCCACCCCTCTTAAAGCAGGCTGGTTGGGGGATTCTGGGAGCGGAAGTCCACCCCTCTTAAAGCAGGCTGGCTGGGGGATTCTGGGAATTGAAGTCCACCCCTCTTAAAGCAGGCTGGCTGGGGGATTCTGGGAATTGAAGTCCACCCCTCTTAAAGCAGGCTGCCTGGGGAATTCTGGGAGTGGAAGTCCACTCCACTTAAAGCAGGCTGGCTGGGGGATTCTGGGAGTGGAAGTCCACCCCTCTTAAAATCACACTCAGGTTGAGAAACACTCTATTAATGGCTTTTCAGCAGGACCACCAATTTCTACGAGGCACAGTTTATTTTTACTGTATTTTTCAGTCCTTCATGGTTTTTGAGTTTTCCTTCTTCTGTCCTCCTTTAAAAAAAAAAAAAGAACTTTGCATATGTGCCAAATTTTGCCAGATGTGGATTTCTCCCTCTCTTCTTTCTCCTCTCCCCCTCCCCTTCCTCAACCCGGCTTTTCTTGACACGGGCTTGATGTGTAATGCTCCAATTACAAAAGCACCGAGATTTTGCATCTCCGTCCAGCAAAGGATGGGAACCACAAGTTTTGGAATGCAAGCACGTCTGAATGTACGGACACTGGGGCAAATTCGGTCAAGCCTGAGACTGTGCTTGCCACCAAGTTTTTATTTAAAAAACAAAACACAAGAGATTAATGTTATTGAAGCTGCCTGATCTTTCTAATAAAAACATTTTCTTTCCATTACTTGCTGGCCAACGTGTGATTGTGTGAATTTGTTGTGGTTCCTCCAGCCAGGAGGGGCTGGTGGATATTTGTATGTGTTGGGGTGGGGGGGGGGAACTCCTGATTTTATTTTTGTTTGATGGGATTCCAAGGCCTTTTGAGAGCTCAAGACAGCGCCATACTTTTTATATTTTAAAAAAGTTTATATATATATATATATATATATATATATATATATATATATATATATATATATATATATATATATATATATATATATATTAGGTTGCTAACAAAGAATAAAGAGAGAACTGGTATAATTTCAAGTTCCATTGATATATATATATATATATATATAAAATCACCTTTTTAAAAAACAAATTAAAATTGTTTTTTAAAAAGGAAAAAAACTAGTTAAAATTATTTTTAAGAAATGTATTTTTTTAAAAGTAAATTCTTAAAAGAAATTTATTTAAAAACTTGAAATTATTTTTGTGAAGAAATAAAATTATTTTTTTAACAAAAAATTACTTTTGTTTTTAAAAATTATCATTTTTTAAAAAAAACTCTTTAAAATTATTTTTAAAAAAATGAAAACAATTTTTTTTAAATTTAAATGTTTACATTTAAAACAGAACAGGGTCGAAAATGGAGGAGAAATCAGCAAAAAACGGAGTTTGTCTCCTGCTGTTGAAATTGGACAAAGACTTGCTGCAGGTCTTCTCAAGAGGGGATTTTGACTTTGGTTAATGCCAAAGTGCCAGGGGAGTGTTAGTCGGTGGGCAGGAGACCACTAGGAGATCCCCTGGCTTTTACGTTTGAGAAGTTTAAAAATAACCCCAACCCGACCGAAATCAACATGAAGGCCTGTTCATAGAGTCATTCAGAAACTAATAAAAATGTTTCAGTGTAGCCACAAACTTTTTAAATGTCAGCTATTTTCTGGCAGAATAACAGGATTTTGATGGGAGACCACCAGGAGATCATAGAGATGGATGTTTAAAAGCAGTAAAAAGACAAGATTTTTCTTTTTTCAAGAAAAGAGCCTAGAGGTGTCCATGAACATGGAAGGAGTCAAAGAAAAGTTAACACATGATGGCTGGGGAATTCTGGGAGTGGAAGTCCTCCCCTCTTAAAGCGGGCTGGCTGGGGGATTCTGGGAGTGGAAGTCCACCCCTCTTAAAGCATGCTAGCTGGGGGATTATGGGAGTGGAAGTCCACCCCTCTTAAAGCAGGCTGGCTGGGGGATTCTGGGAGTGGAAGTCCACTCCTCTTAAAGCAGGATGGCTGAGGAATTCTGGGAGTTGAAGTCCAACCCTCTTAAAGCATGCTAGCTGGGGGATTATGGGAGTGGAAGTCCACTCTTAAAGCAGGCTGGCTGGGGAATTCTGGGAGTGGAAGTCCACCCCTCTTAAAGCAGGCTGGCTGGGGGATTCTGGGAGTGGAAGTCCACACACCTTCAAGTTGCCAAAGTTGACAAACACTGAATAAGCAACAGCTTTCAAGGCTGAACCTCAGAGCAAATTACTCAAAGGGTGACAATACACTGAGGAAAGCCCGGCTATAAATTTCTCCAAATGTTTGTTTTAGCTCACAACCGATCCCTTGTGTTCAGAAGCCTCACCGGCAGCAGCTAACCTGCAATGCTGTAATAAACAATTTGAACTTTGGAACTTCTCCTTCATAATAAAATGTGATTGTGTTAACATTCCAGCTGTCTGTTTTGTAGAGATCCAACCAAAGGCGGTTTATATCGGAAAGAAAAGAGCCACTTCTGGAAACATATTACAGGAACTTCCAGAAATGATCGGCAATATAAGAAGCTGTTTGAACTGTACCAAAAATATGCATATTTAGTGATCACTTTGCATCCTTCTTGGATCCAAGATAAATTTGTTTGAAGTGCTGGTCTCTCTCTGGAGACACTTTTACATTCTGTTTTCTGTTCAACAGAACGAAGCATCCAGCCAATCTCAAAATTGCTGAGCAAGCTTTGGGCCTCTTTCAGCCCTTGGATGGCACACCACCAGGAAATCCCCAGAAGAGGCTAGACTGGGAAATGCAAAAAAAAAAAAAAATCACACACAAAAAAAGCCACACAAAACCAGAACAAGGTCGTTGTAAGCCTATAGCTCATTGCAATAAAGAAAAGTGAATAGGGGTGACCCCAGGATACAGAATAACAAGAGATGAAAGGGACCTTAGAGGTCATCTAGTTCAACCCTCCACTTGCGCTTTCCAATTCTTCTTAAAAGCCTCCAATGATGGAGCACCCTCAACATCTGGATGCAAGCCGTTCTATTGATTAATTGTTCCCACTGTCAATGGCAATACAGAATTATCTTGGAAGGGACCTTGGAGGTCATCTAGTCCAGCCCCCTGCTCAGGCAGGCGTCCCTATACCATTTCAGACAAATGGCTGTCCAGTCACTTGTTAAGCACTCACAACTTCTGGAGGCAAGCCGTTCCACTGATTAAATGTTCTGGGATTATAGAATAATAGAATCACAGAGTCGGAAGGGACCTTTGAGGTCATCTAGTCCAACCTTCTGCTCGAGCAGGAGACCCTAGACCATGTCAGACAAATGGCTGTCCAGTCTCTTCTTAAAATCCTCCAGTGATGGAGCACCCACCGCTTCTGGATGTCAAACTCAACTTGAGAGCATCAAATACCACATTACATTCCAAAGTCCATCAAATCTCCAGAAAGGACCTATCAGTTACGGTCGTAAGCCGAGGACTGCCTTGATAACCAACAGTGCACGATTCTCAAGCAGCCAAGTAAACATTTCCCACTGTTACTGAACAAGTGCGGGGTAACAAGCTGAAGGCCTGCAAAATGAGCTTCTATTTTGGAAAAATATTCAAAACATTAAAAAAAAAAAACCTTTCCTTTTGGCATTTGAATGCTGCCATTTTAGTGATTTATTTCTTGCGGATATTTTACCTTTTTCATTTCTGACCGTTTGCTTTGGATTGTTAGCGCAGGCCTCTTATTGCAAATTTATCAATTGCCACCTGCCAAGGTTGGAGGGATTGCAGGAAGACAAATATTGGATGCATAAATTCTCAGCAGTTTTGAGTCTTGCAAAAAATGCCCTGTTGCCAACGGTATTAAAAGCTGCTGAGAGAGGCAGGATCGTCCAGACCTGACTCGGCCCCATCTCCTCTTAGTGCTGTTCCCATATGGCTCATGCAGCAAGGACATCCCACATCATTTCTGTGCAAATCCAGGATTAGAAAGGATCTTGATCAGGGTTTAATCTTCAACGCGAGTCTATCCATTTCTGCACATTTCCAGCGTTTTCTTCATTATGTCGTCTTCGGATGGCGTTTCTTCATTTTTCCAATGCTGCGCAAAAATGATTCTTGCTGCTTTAAGATGGGTGGATTTCAACTCCCAAAAATCCCCAGCCAGCGTGCTTTAAGGTGGGCGGACTTCAACTCCCAGAATCCCCCAGCCACCTTGCTTTAAGTGGGGCAGACTAACTCCCAGAATTCCTCAGCGAGCATGCTTTAAGATGGATGGACTTCCAATCCCAGAATTCCCCAGCCAGCCTGCTTTAAGAGGGGTGGACTTCCACTCCTAGAATCCCCCAGCCATTATGTTTTAAGAGGCTTCCACTCCCAGAATTCCCTAGCCTGTATGCTTTAAGAGGGGTGGGCTTCCACTCCCAGAATCCCCCAGCCATTATGTTTTAAGAGGGATGGATTTCCACTGCATGCTTTAAGAGGGGTGGGCTTCCACTCCCAGAATCCCCCAGCCTGCATGCTTTAAGAGGGGTGGGCTTCCACTCCCAGAATTCCCCAGCCTGCATGCTTTAAGAGGGGTGGGCTTCCACTCCCAGAATCCCCCAGCCAGCCTGCTTTAAGAGGGGTGGACTTCCACTCCCAGAATTCCCCAGCCTGCATGCTTTAAGAGGGGTGGGCTTCCACTCCCAGAATCCCCCAGCCTGCATGCTTTAAGAGGTGTGGGCTTCCACTCCCAGAATTCCCCAGCCTGCATGCTTTAAGAGGGGTGGGCTTCCACTCCCAGTATCCCCCAGCCTGCATGCTTTAAGAGGGGTGGGCTTCCACTCCCAGAATCCCCCAGCCAGCATGCTTTAAGATGGGAGGACTTCAATTGTCCTCATAAGCCAAGGACTACTTCTACTTCTGACTTAGCCAATCTGTTCAAACTGGGGCCATCTTTCCAGATGTGTTTCGCTATAATCGTTTTTTTTAATCATACTTTTCAAATTGTATTTCCAAGGTTATAATTCTCATTGTCTCCTGCTGGAGGAGAGCGGTCTGTAAACCCCAGTAAACAGAGGAGTC